GAAGTGAAGTGTTACTCCTAAATTTAGGTGATTAATATGACATCTGCTATTACTTTAAACATAACAAGAATAGAAAAGGTCAGACACACCCAAAACTTCAATATTGCAAAAGGCATCAAATCAATAAAAAGTAAATCTCCAGGTCCTCTTTTCAGTGTGTAACCAGGATGAAAACTGCCTGCAGTTGAATACTTTTGAGTTGATTTAACTGAAACCATGACTTTTATTAACTTTCTAAGGTACGAAGTAAAGAGTTCAAAATGTTTAGATCATAAAAGGTGGACATACTAACATATAAACCGAGGATACTTGTGATGTTAAAAGCAAAATGCATAAAAGCACATTATACATAGTGATTTGTAGATTAAAATACACTAAAGTTTGCTGTTGTTTTTTAAATAAAAGTATCACCACTCTTAACCAGAAATACCACAGATGAAAGTGAATGAATCATCAGGAGAAGCAAGTCTCATTTGAAGTTCATTTCTAATAATATTTAGAATACTAACTTGCAGGAATTCTAGGTACACTAGCAACTTCAAAATCAAAATATTATGAGACAAATAATAAGAAAAGGAAAATTCCATCTTTTCATTTCCAAATGACCTAAGTAATCTTTAATAGATTTATTTGTTATAGTAAGCACCAATAATCAATCAATCTCTCCCTCCACCCCAAACCCATCAACCTTTCATCCTTTTCATTACAAAGAGATATTTACAGCTCAAGGGTTTACTCAGAAAGTTTACTAAGAGACAGGGCAATCTCTGTAACAAGCTTCTTGAATTCTGCAGGTTTGGGTTTATTATAGAAAGGGAATTTCAAAAAACTCTAGGGACATTTGAAAAATAAAAAATAATTGTAGGTTATTTACTAAATTGTTTCATTCTATCATGAAAAAAATGCAGCATATATTAAGATAAATACCTGACTGCTTGTCTTGAAACCTACCGAAATATGCCCTTTGAAATAGTGAACTTTATATTCAAAAGTCTATGTTAGCACTGTTTTATGATGCTATCAAAGTGACTACCCCATCACCATAAACACCCAATGTTATGTCAACAGAAAAACCTGTTTCCAAAAGGAATGGTGTAACTTAAAAGGATAAGAAATTCATAGTAAGTGTCAAATTTTGCAAAAAGAAAGATCTGATTTTAAAAATCCTGCTTTTCAAAGTAAAATGATAGGACACGCCTACTGGCTTTTAGTTTTAAATGGTAAGTGATTTTTCTATCCAGACCACCCTGGAAACTGCAGAGCTAGACTTGTGATTAAAACATACTTGAAACTACATTACTAGTAGCAAATGTGGTAAGGGGTGCAGACCCTTGGAGAGCATCTATTTCAAGTCATTCTCTTTAAAGAAACTGAGGCTGGGAGATCTCTGACTCACTCAAGGTTAGTTTTGTTGTGTCCAAGCTGGCAGGGGAATGCCAATCTACATGACACAACGAGGTCCAGTGTCCACCCTGAACTTTACATTCAGCTTTTGCCATAATTTACTTTACAATGTGGCACGCGGACGGACATCCATTCACTGGAAATTATTAACAGACAGATGACTTTTGTCACCACTCCCACAGAATGCCCAGAGCCTGCAAAGTGCAACACACACTTCTCAGCCATTACTCATTTTTGCCAGCTTGAAAATTTAATCTGGATTAGAATCATTTTTCTTATTTGAATAGGGCACTCCTTCCGTGGCATAACAGCCAAGAAGGCTAACACAAATAAAGTAATATCTTTCTGTTTTGTTAACTACCACTGGGTGTATCCAATAGCAGAGACCAGTGATTTTCAACTTTTGGAACTCAAGACACATTTCCCCTCCTAAAATGTACTGAGGATACCAAAGAGCTTTGGTTCCTATGAATTATATCTACTGATATTTACCATGATTAGAAATTATAGCTAATATTTATTTTAAATAATTTGAAAATAAGTCATTACATGTAAACAAATACATTGTATGTGGTGACATGATATGTTTTGGCTCAAATATATAAAGAAACTCTGGCCCAATACAGATATGTTGTTGGAAAAAGAAGGAGCATTTCAATGGTCTTTTCAGATAAGCGCAGATATGATTCTTTTACACTACACTGAAAATTGACAGTAAGTAGTTTCTTAAAAGTGAGGTGCAATGTGGAATCTGAAAACATGGATATCTCTGAACTTTTCTTACACTATTCCATTAAAATTCATTGGTCTATCTTTCATTTTCAATGGGTCTTTAAATGATGCAAAACTTTTGACCTCATGAAACTCCTGAGGTCTCAGGAACCTCAAACTGTATTTTGAGGTCTACTAGAAAACAGTTTAATAGAGTTCAACCAAAAGATAAAGAATGCTATAAGACCTACAGCAGTTACACACTGCCTTGATCCTTTACAACCTTTAGTTCATTAATTTATTCAACATTCTCTGGATGGGGTATCATCATTATATATTAAGAAGTAGGCAAAAATGTTGGATTTTGGTCCAAAGGACACAAAATAATGAAGCTTGGATGAGGTTAAATTAAATGTTATAACATAGACTAAATTCTAGAAAAAGATCTAAATTTCCTCTGATCTTTGAGCTTTATGCTGAGAATGATCAAAACAAATAGATTCGGATAATATTCACCAGGAAAAAACTACAAAGAATTAGTCATCTATAAGAGACTTCAAATAACAGAGCTTTGATATTAACATTTTTGAAAAACATTAACTAGCACACAATACCAGCATATATGTAAATGAATACCCTCTGACTATAGTAACACATATACATACAGAGAGAATTTTAGAATACTCAAAGAACACTCAAAGAGACACCAGATAACACCTCCAGTGCCCACAAATGCAGGGTAAGTTCAAGGTCACTGATTCACAGTAACATGTTTCAGGCTAGGCCAGTGGTCGGCAAACTGCAGCTCGCGAGCCACATGCAGCTCTTTGGCCCCTTGAGTGTGGCTCTTCCACAAAATACCGACTTCTGCGCAGCATGGGCCATGAAGTTTCAATCGCACTGTACATGCGCGCCCGCATGTGGTATTTTGTGGAAGAGCTACACTCAAGGGGCCAAAGAGCCGCATGTGGCTCACGAGCCGCAGTTTGCCAACCACTGGGCTAGGCCATCAGGAGGTGCTTCATCAGTCAACTAAAAAAGCATAAATAGAAATGCAGTAGCAAATGTTTGATGCCCAATCATAAGTTTTTTAATCAGAGTAGAACTTACTCATAAGAATTATCAATGAATACTTTTTAACTATGTACATAATACTTTTTAAAAATTTTTGTCAAATTTCATATCATGAAGAAAAAGAAAACTAAAAAAAATGGAAACTAAAGATTGTGAAAACACTTAAGATTTAACTAAATTAACAGTAATAGCTAAAATGTATACTAGTATAAGGTATGGTACATACCAGGTGATATTCAAAGGGCTTCTCATAAAGTAAATCTATTTAATTCCCTTTTTTCAGATAAGAAAACTACAGCCCAGAGAGGTAAAGGGAGGTGCACAGGAACGTGAAGCAGTTAAGTGGCACAGCTGGGATTTCAACCAGGGCAGCTCCACTCTTAACTACCAGGCTACATTCCCTCAGACTAACTCACTGAAAAAAGCATTGCTTACCTAAATATCTACATTATGTACCAAATTTCCTTAAGTAAATCAGAGCACTAGCAGAACACGGGCTGAGTTTGGTTCTGATGAACGCTAGGCTAGCTCCTGTCTCCTGTTAAAATTTGAATTTAAGAGAGAGAGGCAGCGCTAAAATGTAAGAATGTATCTTTTATGGAATGTTTGCTTCCATAAAAGCAAGAGGAGTCAGGTTTTAGACAATGATGAGAAAAAGAATGCACAAATTAAAGTTTTTGCTCTTGGTTTGCAAAAACACAAAAACAAAATAGAAGGACAGAGACACAGGAACACACACATAACCTATAGCCTGGTCATATTACCCACAAAATTAATTATTTAGGAAAATATCCATATATTCCTAGATGCCAAAGGAACGAACTATATCTAATAACTCCGTTCTTTATATGTCCAATAAAGGAATCATTTATTACAACCATGTAATAAAAATAGTACTGAAGCAAAGTCCAATGCAAGCATTCATTATATAACTTAGAACCACCCTTTAGTCATATCTACAACCTCTTCCTTGTTTTTCTAAATATATACAGTATGCTATCTGCAATGAGGAAAGCCAAGAGATATTTTACAGTAAGTTATGTATGTCTTCTTGCAGATCTTAAGTTACAAATATACCAATTCAAAACTGCAGTGACATATTTCTCTTCCAATATGAGTAAAAAAGCAAGACTGTCCACTTAGTAATTTTAGCTGTGCTGAGTCTTTAAAGCCCTCAAATGTTAAGGAAATGGTTTATTTATATTGAAAACCACAACTTACATACAATTAACCTAACCAGAAAAGGACAAGGAGGGTGGGGAGCTTGAGGGTAACAGATTTGAGGTTCAATTTCATTTTTCACAGCCAATGAAGTAATTAATAAAGAAAACTAAAAAAAAGGAAGAAGAAGAAGAAGGAAAAGAGAAAAAGAAGACTAAAACCACAAAGAAACTAATTTAAAGCAATTTTAGTGAACCAGTATACAGCTAAAGAAAAAAAAATATGGCACTAGTTTGCTAAAGTAAACCTAGTAACAGGCAGCAGAAAACAAACTTTTTCCGAAGACCTACAACAGGCAACGTGGCAGCAGTGGGTCAGGGGAAACACCTATATACACTCCTTCAAAACCAACACAAATGTTTTCTCAGAGATTTTAAGAACTTTTTATTTCTCCATTTTTAAAAAAGTAATAACATTCTCCCAACAAGCAAGGGGGAGGGTGGGGGGAGACACACCCTAAATGACCATCCTGAATATATAAATAAGACAGTAAACTGAAATGTGCTTCATTTGTCAACTGTAAATGAAATGCTAGCCTTTCACATTGTAGAAAGCCATGATTTTCAAAAGGGAAGAAAAAGCCAACTTACCTTGATACATTTTCTGGAATGTACTCTAGGACCGGATAGCCATCGCTTCTCCGAGATGCCAGGTCACTGTGGGATTTCCACGACTCCACCAAGGTATTGACAGGAGGAAAGGAACTCAGGTGTTGGAAAGACTGGTCTCTAGCCGCTCGTGACAAAGATATTGTACCTTGAGCACCAATCCTGTAGTGAAAGGACTGTCCACCTGAGTTCACACCAACAATGGCAGAGGACGGGATGCTGGCCTCTGGGTAGTAGCTCCCGTCGTCTGGTTCCTGTTTGATCCCCACGGGGAAGCCGCTGCTTTCGCAGCTACCGTCGAAGCCGGGCACGGGCGGGCCTAAAATTCCTGATAGAGAATAATAGTCTTTATCATCCATAAAGGAAAAATAGGAGCTATCCATGAATGGAAATGGGTTCACGGTTGGATTCCCTTTGAAGGAGGTGCCTGAACACGAATGCTTGGTTGATTCTTGTTTGATTGGTACTGAGAATGGGGAAGCGGGATTCATCTTGCTATTTCCTCTTAGACATGAGCTGCTAAAAACTCCATCTGGCTCTGGTTTTATGTACTGGACGATGTTAAGCTGGCCCGTCACGCCGTTGGAGGTGGCATTCTCTGCTTCCTCGATCTTGGGAAAGGAGACCTCATGAGCACCTTTCTCTTGTGTGTCTGGGCTGGAAACCACGTCCCGGGCCGCACTGGATCCCAGAGGAGTGCCTGAAGCAGTGTAGCTGAAGGCATTGCTAACGGGGCTGCAGATGGACCCCACGGTGCTCGCAGTTGGACTGGAAAGCGTGGATCTGTTATTCGTGTTGGAAGGGCTGGAAACGGAGCACCTTGAGTTGTTGATATTGGCCGGGCTGGACACTGCAGATCGCAAAGTGACATTTGGACTGGAGACTGGAGATTTTACACTGCAGTGACTGGGAGGGCTGGAAACTGGGGATTTCATGCTACTTAATGGACTTGAGAGAGGAGAGCCCACATTGCTAGCATGCGCTGGGCTGTGCGACCTGGAACCTCGAGTCTCGATATTCGGGGAGCAGGTCAAGGGGGTCCCCTGGGTGATAGGGCTGTGCACTGTGAAATTGCCAAAGCTGGCCGAGGTGGAGGACACAGAGCTGAGTCCAGCGGGGCTGCACGCTGAAGATGTCATGTTCAGAGGGCTGCAAACAGATGAGCTCTTCTCATGACACAAGAGAGGGCTTTTAACGATGGCACGCATGACCCCGCCATTTACAGAGCTCCCCGAGTCAGCCATGAACGATCTCAAGGGCCTGCTCATCCCTGCAGTGGAAGGACAATGGCCGTTTTCTTTATAAAATTTCACCAACTGTTCAACATTCTGATAAATCTTTGCTGGACTCAGGCTTCCTTGCTGGTTCTGCGGATCATAGGTGTACTCAGCATCTCTAATGGAATCCATGTATAAACCCATGGACTCAGCTACAGTTACTGAAAGTTCCTTAGATTCCAGCTCCGTTTTAATATCAGATGTTAAAATCCCAGACCGATTATTGTCTTGCTGAAGGCAAGGGAGTAGTTCATGTTTTTCTTTGCTGCTTCCTTGAGTACTGTTGTTTGGAATAGCACCGGAAACACAGCTTACATTGACAATCTCCATGTAGTTGTTCTCATCGGTCCTCTCTGTAGGTCCCAGGGATGAATGATCCACAGCCTGAGAAACTTGACCCCACCGTCTTTCCATATCTAGACCTTCAGGGAGACTGTGGTAGCCTTTGGTCTCCATAGCTAACAAATAAATTTACATTAAAAAATCGAATTAGAGTCATTTATAACATTACTCTAACATTATTCTTAAATTCCATTTACTAAGCCAGCAATTTTCAACTGGTGTGCCGCAAGAATTTTTAAAACGTGCAATACCTGACTATTTTGTCAGGGGCACTGACCTTTTTGCTATTCGATTGTCAAGTAAAAATATGACAACAGCCAACACAACAACAGCCGTCCAGTGTGAATGAATCAAAATTATACCTATTTTTTATCAGATAGAGATAGACAAAAATATAACATATTTTTGGGTGTGCCACAGAATTTTAGTAATTAGTATGTGTGCCAGGAAATGAAAAAGGTTGAAAATCGCTGTACTAAGCTATAAGTGCATATTCTATTTATTATAAGCAACACTTGTATTAAAATTGTTACCTGTCTAGGTGCTGATACAACAGAGCACTGACTGTAACTTGTCCAGAAGCCAAGTTACAGTCAGTAACTTGACTATAAGAAGCAATCATATGAAACTATTTTTCATCCAAGTAAAAGTAACATATTTCTATAATACAGCCTTTAGAGTTCACAAAGAATATTTACAAATGCTAACTTATTTAATATTCAAAGTAATCCTGGGGACTATGAAGTAAACAAAGAGGAAACTGAGGACTTAGTGAGGTAGGTGGCTTGCCCAAGGTCAAAGGCATAGTAAGTGACAAAGGCAGGTTTAAAACTAAATATTCTAACTCCAAAGCCTTTTGAATCTTTGAGGTATATGGAAGATATTTCCCATATCTTAAACATGGCTTTATTAAAAATAATAAGAAAATGCAATTAATGCTACCATTTCCCAAATAAAGTTATGAAGTAAATTATCACAGGAAAAACAGTAAGAATTTTTAAAAATTGACTGTGATCAAGATAATTTAATGTCAAGTCTAAAAAGTAAAGATTCATCTCTCCTGATTAATTAAGATGGCCCAAAGCTCAGAGAGGCTATGTCGGGAATGACAGGACTCTTCCCTGTATCTCAGTACAGGTGAGGACTCTGATGTGCACTCTGACCTGGTGGTGTTCCTCCTGCTAAAAAGACTCCCGACAGACAGACAGTTTCAGTCTCCACTGTAAATGGAGGAAGTTCAAGATGAGTCCTGACAACTTACGTGTTCATTCATTCAACAAATACTTACCAAGTGTGTGCTACATCCTGGGCCTACAACCAATCACTGAATCTATGGTGCTAAAGAAAACAGGCACAGTCCTCATCCTCAGGGAGCCCGCAGGATTGTTGTAGCTATACAATCATATCCATTGGCTCTCTCTATATATATTTCATTGACATAATAATTGTAATAGGCTATATTTATATAATGCTTATGCATCACATAATTCAATGCAATATTATAAGCCTTTCTCAAACATTAACTTATTTATCCTTATAAATATAAACAATCCTTTAAAATTGGTAAAAGTATTATCCAAATGACACAAGTAGGGAAACCGAGGCACTGGGCACACAGCTAAGTGGCAGAACTGGAATTTGATCCCATGTCCCTCTCTCCATGGTTATCTCAACTTGGCACCATTGACGTTTTGGGCCTGATAATTCTTTGTTGTGGAGGTCTGTCCCATGCACTGTACGATGTTTAACACATCCCTGACCCTTTCCCACTAGATGCCAGTAGCAGTCCCTATTGTCCCCAGTTGTGACAACCAAAAATGTCTCCAGACATTGCCAAATGTGCCTGGAATGGGGGAGGGGAGATACCTCCCACACTCACCATTGAGAACTACCACAGTAAAGAAAACTAACTTATTCTGAGTAAAAATTTCATTTGTGCATTGTTATAAACCTCCTAAAATTATTATGCATTTTTCAAGTCCTTTCAGTTGTGTAAACAAACTATGACCCAAGTGAAGGTCCTGATCTTAAACGTGCCGTTTCTACAGATCTGTGCACAAGCATTACTTTCGGCCTCTCATCCTTTCCCCTGCTTTGCCACTCACACCTTCATTCTTCCTACCTTCATCTCATTACAAAGAGACTAGGAAGCCCTTTTGTTACAGAACTTGTATTAACTGACACGCAAAAATAATGATGACTCTACCAAATAAATTGGCAATAGCTATGAGAAGGCTCTATAATGAAATTTAATGCCCAAATTGTCTGCTATTATAACTATAACTTTTCTGTATTCTCCAGTAGAATGTAAGGTCCCAGAAGGCAGAAGATTTATAAATTTCACCATTGCATCCCAAGCTAATAGTATAGTAAAAACAACAACAAAAACACACAAAAAAGCTGAACCATTATAATCAATACTCACTAATTTAAGACCATACATAAAAACCTACCAATTATGTAGCTTCCTTTTACTTAAAGAGCATTAGTCTATAAATACTTAATAAAAAATTAATCCATAAAACACTGGAAAATAAATCAAATTATAGTGGCTGAGGTGGTTATCTGGTAACTCCGGCCAAAAAATTTAGTAAGGATAAAAGCCAAGTAAAAGTTGAAAAAACAACAACAAAACACACACACAATAACTACCACCCAGTGAAATGGGATAGAAATGGCTACCACTGGCATTTTCTCCTTTACTAAAAAACCATTTAGTCATAGTCACAGGTTGAAAAGGACCAGTAAACATTATGTGCTTTTTCAACTTCTACCTAAGAATATTCTGTCCTCCCCATACCAAACTTGAAGGGATGTATATCTAAGGTATAGATGTTTTGGCTCCAAATTCATTAAACACCACAAGTAACATGGCTGTCTATTCGTGTTCAAAACTGAACACCTCCTGTGTATCACCACTCGCCCCTCAACCCAGTCCCTCAATCCATGATCCCTGTTTGGTAAACTGCACCACCCTCTGCCCAAATGCCTGGAATTTACCATTGCCTAAGCACCTTTACTAAAGGCCTCCACAGACTCACCCCTCCCCACTTCCACACTGACAGCCTCTCCCCAGGTCCTGGGAAACAGGCCTACCTTCCCTGAGTCTGAAGGGAAATCTCCATGCAGATCCCTCTCCAAAATTCCATAGTTCAAATTCTCCTTCAGAAAGGATGATCACTTACTGCATTTTTAAAGGCTCGCAGTGGAAATCTGCATGCTAAAACTCCCGGGCAGCTCCACAGTGCAGAAACCTGTTTCTCTTTGAATCCAGCATTCCCTACATAATTAAACCTTTTTGCACAGAACACCTACTGATATTCCAAGGGACGTTTTTCATCACTTTGCCCTAAAGTAGGAATCATAGCTCAGATTTATGAATCCCTATGAAGATTTGAAGAGAATCTATATGGGAGATGGCAGGCAAGGACAATCATAAACTATAAGCAAGCACCTTATCAGCTAACATCATGCAGCTGAGCACAACTTTTCAAGTTCTGTTTAGCCATCCTTAAACTCCCTTAACAAAAAGATAATATAGCCCGCATTTCACTACGTTACTGACAGGGCTATCATTATAGAATTTGCAACAGGCTTTGCTGAAATCCAAATTAGCTTTGTAGGTATTCTCATCTATCAACCTAATGCACCTCTCAACAAAGAAAACAGAGTAAAGGTTTGCAACAGTCAAACAGAAAAATAGAGGACATCAAGCATCTGCATGGCTTCCACTGGAAACATTTTTAAAGATCAGATGTTTTCAAAAAATAGATTTATTGAAATATTTTACTCTGAGTTCTCCCTATTATTTTAATTCATCTTCTCTGTAAAGAAATGTGTCCGGTTAGAAATTTATTTCCTACGTTGTCCAGGAAACCCAACTTGTTGTCTTTTCGGAATTGGCATACTGACCATGGTGGTTTCAAGAGAATTTCGGTCAACTGAAACTTACTAGTGAATACTAAAAATACTAGTTGGTGAATATGATTCTCATAGAACTAACTTACTATCCACAGGGTAAAGGGACAGTTTTTTATTACTAGCCTATAGGATACTGGTATAGAAACCTAACTGATATAAAATGAAATTTGTCTCCCTTACAATGAGGATTACAACAGAGACCTTCTCTGGACAAAGTAAAAAAAACGACTAGAACCCTTTAATTTTCATGTGAATGGCCTCGTCACAAAACATAATGGAAATTTCACATAAGAAAAGTAAGGGCAAGCTCTGCTAGAAGTTCTACCTTAAGCCATATGTATGCTCTTAAATACTATTTTTGCAAAGGAAAAAATCTGACTTTAAAATTTTATGTTTTATACCCTGTATTAAATTGTCCTTTTCCATAAGGAAGTAGTTTTTTTTCAGAAATATTAACAAAAACTCCTGCAAATTTGTATTTTATCTGAAAACATTTTCACTTTTAATATCCCCCAAGCATAGTTCCATTTTAAATGCATCATTTTCTATAGTTATTTCACTATAACATGGCATCTAAAAGACCAGAATCTTAAGAATTACACAATTTTCACTGGTTGCATAGTTGTAAGTTTGTTGTATGTAACTATTTTTCTGTCATTCCCACTACAGAACCATGATTATGTTCCCCTCCTTTACAGATGAGGTAAATGATAGAAACCTGCCCAAGGTCACCTAAGAGAGCAGGAGAACCAGTTAGAACTGCGCACACCTGATTTCTATTCACTCACCTAATTCACTGAGCCACCTGATCTTTCCAAAATCCCCAAACAAAACTATTTCTTCTCCCTTAAAGGAAAAAGCTCGCCTTTAGATTGTTTTTAAAAACTTCTCTCCTCGACCATTTCCATGAGAGCATGCCATGAAGTCACACATAAAATTAAAACTTCACAGCAGAACTTCACAGATGGAGAACGCTGTTATCATTACTATGTAAATATCATCAATAACAGCACCTAGAGAAATGGAAATAGTGCATTTGGAATTCAGCACTTTCCAAAATTTGCCTCCTATCAAGTAAAAGTTTTCCTAACTTCTATGAAATGATAGTTAAAACCGAGGGTGCCATAAACCATTATGATTTAAACCTGATTTTTAAAAATTCAGTAGGAGAAGTCATGCACCTAAATCCAGTAGAAGGGTCCGGGTGCCACCAAAAGACGCTCCATCCCTTTTCCCCTGCCTTTAGAATTCCAACTGATGCCACAGAAAGAAGAGCCTCTCTCAAGAGTTTCATGAATAGCCAGGAATGGGGAATTCACGAATTTCCAGAGCCTCCTTCATGCAGGATCTATCAGGATCGCTATCTCCTTCAACTGCCCTTAATAAGCTACACCTCCAGCTATGATTTGGGTGTTTCTGCAATTGATAGAGGAGAGAAATACTATTCAAAGGTCCTTTAAAAACTGTACAAGGCGAAGGACCCGAAATTCATCCTGGGGAAAAGGAGAAGGGTGATGATAGACCTCCCACTGCCAAAAGCGGCTGAAAGCCGCTCGTTAGAGGGCATTTATCCAAAGTGGCCAAACTTTCCCAAAATAGTCCTCTGGCGGCCAAAGGGGGGAAAAAGTGGAAAACCAAAACAAAACAACAAGCACACAGCCCCGTACCGACTGTGCCTCCGAATTACGCAGCCACTTCTCCCAGCAAAGTGCACGCTCCCGCGCCACGGCCGCACGCCCGGGC